ACACACACCAGTGTCCACACTCACGTCCCATGGGAGGCCCACAATAGTCAGAAAACGTGGAGACCCATATAAACCAAAAGAGAGAAAAAGAATACAAGTAGATGAAGGCCACATGGTGGCCACCACATTTTCTTGCACCTTACCCTTCGGCCTGGTGAACTGTAGAGGCTCAGGGAAGATTGTGAGGATGAGAAAGTAAGAGGCTCTTCAGGTAGGAAGGGGAGGATGAGACCGTAGACAGAAGTGGGAAAATGCTGTTTTGCCTGTCCTGGCTTTTATAAATTGACCTTTAAAATAAATACTATATATAAATGGGAAGGATAAATGTGTAATGCTCTTGTTATGTGATTTTCATTTCTTTCTCTTTTTGATTTTCATATCTTGCTAACTGTAGTATCAGGATCCCTGAGCGCATGCTCCCTGACGCGCATGCCCGTAGTATCAGGCTACAGGGTAAGCGTGTTTCCTGATGCGCATGCCCATAGTATCAGGCTACAGGGTAAGCATATTTCCTGATGCGCATGCCCAAAGCATCAGGCTACAGGGTAAGCGTGTTTCCTGATGCGCATGCCCATAGTATCAGGCTACAGGGTAAGCGTGCTCCCTGACGCACATGCCGTCGTGTCAGGATCCCTGAGTGCATGCTCCCTGTGCCTCCCGATGGCGTCGGTGCGTCTTGTTCTCTAGCACCTGACCCAGCTATGTCAAAAACTTAACTGTTTCCTTGAGCATTATTTGCCGGAAAGGAGAAGGAAGGCTCACACTGGTTTCTGATTAAAGAGTCAAGAAGCCAGCCAAAGAAAATAAAGCATTAATTTGTATTCATGGCATTAAGATGAAGTGATTACATAGCTTCTGGATTTGGGCAGAGTAAAACACCTGGCACACAGACACCCGACAACAACAGTCAAACTTATAAGTGAATGCCACTGCACACAGACAGGAACAAAATTAACCATGCATGCATTTCAGCATCTAACGTGAGGCCCATTGAAGACGAGAACTCTGTTAAGCCTGCTTTTAAATCTGCATTACGACAGAGCAGCCTCACTCCAAGACACATACCCAAGAGAAATGAATTCATTAGTAGATGTGAGATCCTATGCAGCAGCAAGACAATCACCCTGCTTTTAGACACAGCGTTATTCATGAATCTCAGCAATACAAGGACAAACAGAGGAGTCATGAACAAAGACATGCCATGGATTTCCTGTGCCACGATTAGGAAGAAGCAAACTAACATACAGTGGTTAAGTCAGAACAGGAGTTACCTTTGGTGGGAGCAACAGCTGGGAAGGCTCCCAGAGAAATTCCTAGGCTGCTAGAAATATATTTGGATTTGATTGAGGACATGGTGGTAAAAATGATAAATTCCAGAACACTTAAAATTCATGTTTAACTGACAAAGAGCACAGAAGGGGAAACAGAATTTGGAGAATTCAATCTCCATGTGTTGGTTGTAGGCAGGGTAAAGATTCAAGGAGCTGCCCACCTAACATTCGTGAATTTTACTTCACATGTGTTATACATGAAAAATTTTAAAACAGAAAACTTTCCAACAGGACAACAGACCTCATGCTTAGGAATCAGTGGGAAATGGATAAACAGATCTCTACACTAGCCCATGTCCACTGATGAACTCATGGCTCGGCTCCCAAGCATCTTTCGGAACAATGCGCTTCCTCTCTTGAGGATATTATCACTTTATGTAGTCGGAGTATCTACAAAGAACTATCAAGTCTTTGGTGCAGTGTCTTATGAGAAGATTCCACAAAAATTGGACATTGACTATGTACCAAGTGAAGTCCAACGATAAATGTCACGAGCTGGAGACCAGAAAAGCTCCCGCAGTGCTCTGAAGGCGGTGGAAGTTCAGTGAGGTTCCGGAAGGTTGGGGAGAGCTACAGGACTTACAGAGTGTGGCCCATGGAAGGGCACCATCTGGGATTTAAGTTTTATGTGGTAATGCGAGTGGGCAGGATTTGGGGAAAACATCTTACATCACATTTTTTTTTTTAAATATGGAGGTTTCCACAGGCTTCTGTATTTGTCACCTCTAAATTTAGGAAAAGTCTCCAGTGGAGGACCGCATCAAGAGACTGCATGAAAAGGGGAGCGTGAGGTGAGCAGAAAGAAGCATTTGCTGCTCTCTGCTGAGCGTGGTGTGACGTCACCAGTCACGTGACCCCCGCTGCTGCAGCCCGCGCCTTTGGACTGTGGGCCACGGTAAACCCTTTTCCGTTCTATTGCTTCCTCAGTGTTTACCTCAGCACCTGGAGAAGAAGCTCAGGCTGGTGGTGATTGATAGCAAGTTGTACAAGCGTCTGTCTCTAGAGAGTTTCAAAGTTGTTAAAAATTGTTTTGTTGAAGATAAATATGTAAGAAGCTATCCCAAATTTTCTTTTGATTTTACAAAACAACTCTTTTGTGTTTCATCTTTGGATTAAAAATAAATACCTGAGTGTTTTACTATTAGCACTGGATAGCTGTTGTCTTAGCTAGGATTTCTCTACTTGCTGTGATGAACACTGACCAAAAACAAGTTGGGGAGGAAAGGGTTTATTTAGCTTACACTTCACTGAAGGAAGTGAGGACAGGAACTCAGACAGGGCAGGATCCTGGAGGCAGGAGCTGATGCGGAGGGCATGGAGCGGTGTTGCTACTGGTTTGCTCCCCATATATTGCTCAGCCCTCCTTCTTAAAAGACCCAGTAGCCCAGGGATGGCACCACCCACCATGGGATGGGCCCTCTGCCATCTATCACCAATGAAGAAAATGGATCTTATACAGGCATTTTCTAAATTGGGGGTCCCTCCTTTCAGGTAACGCTAGCTTGTGTCCAGCTGACACAAAACTGTCCAGCACGTGTGTGTGTGTGTGTGTGTGTGTGTGTGTGTGTGTGTATGTGAGAGAGTGTGTGTGTGAATTCAAGTTGTGATGTTATAGTTTCTAATTTGATCTTGAGCTCTCTCGGAACCAAGACACACCTGACCTGGAGTCAAGGGGTGTCAGACAGGTGTGTGGTTGCAAGAACAAAATCAAATACATAACATCCATCTGATTTCTGGCGTCACTCAATCCCAGTGCTTCTCTATCCAGTTTTTATCTGGATGACCTGTGTGTTGGTGGGCGCAGGGCACTGAAGCTGCCCATTATGGCCGTGTGAGGCCATGTGTGACTTTAGCTATACCGTGTTTCTTCTATGGACTTGGTGCCCTTGTGCTTGGTGCACAGATGTTTACTTAGGTCCTCTTGGTGGGTTTTTCCTTTAGTGAGAAGGTATTGTTCTTCTGTCTCTCTGGTGAATGGTTTGGGATTGAAGTCTACTTTTTCAAATACTAAAATAGGTCTGCAGGCCTGATTCTTGGCTGCATTTGCTTGGGACACCTTTCTCCGTGCTTGGACTCTAAGGTGATGTCTGTCCTTGTGAGGTGTGTTTCTCGGATGCTCTAAGGTGATGTCTGTCCTTGTGAGGTGTGTTTCTCGGATGCTCTAAGGTGATGTCTGTCCTTGTGAGGTGTGTTTCTCAGATGCTCTAAGGTAATGTCTGTCCTTGTGAGGTGTGTTTCTCGGATGCTCTAAGGTGATGTCTGTCCTTGTGAGGTGTGTTTCTCGGATGCTCTAAGGTGATGTCTGTCCTTGTGAGGTGTGTTTCTCGGATGCTCTAAGGTGATGTCTGTCCTTGTGAGGTGTGTTTCTCGGATGCTCTAAGGTGATGTCTGTCCTTGTGAGGTGTGTTTCTCGGATGCTCTAAGGTGATGTCTGTCCTTGTGAGGTGTGTTTCTCGGATGCTCTAAGGTGATGTCTGTCCTTGTGAGGTGTGTTTCTCGGATGCTCTAAGGTGATGTCTGTCCTTGTGAGGTGTGTTTCTCGGATGCTCTAAGGTGATGTCTGTCCTTGTGAGGTGTGTTTCTCGGATGCTCTAAGGTGATGTCTGTCCTTGTGAGGTGTGTTTCTCGGATGCTCTAAGGTGATGTCTGTCCTTGTGAGGTGTGTTTCTCGGATGCTCTAAGGTGATGTCTGTCCTTGTGAGGTGTGTTTCTCGGATGCTCTAAGGTGATGTCTGTCCTTGTGAGGTGTGTTTCTCGGATGCTCTAAGGTGATGTCTGTCCTTGTGAGGTGTGTTTCTTGGATGCTCTAAGGTGATGTCTGTCCTTGTGAGGTGTGTTTCTCGGATGCTCTAAGGTACGGATGCTCTAAGGTAATGTCTGTCCTTGCTGGTGAGGTGTGTTTCTCAGATGCTCTAAGGTAATGTCTGTCCTTGCTGGTGAGGTATGTTTCTCAGATGCAGCAGAGAAGTGGACCCTGTTTTCTAATCCAATATGTCTTTCTATTGAGGAATCGAGATCGTGTTAAAAATGAACAGTACTTATTAATTTGTGGTATTTTCTGGTTTCTGTGGGTTTTTCTCCTCATTTATTTCTGGTGTCCCAGAAACTCCTGGTATGTAGTAAACCTTTTCTGTAGAGCTGAACTGATGGACGGGATTCTAACTTCACCTTTGATGGGTGAGTGTTCTGGTCCCAGCCAAGTGTGGCAGCTGTGGATCCCTAGCAGAGCGAGGTTCTGGGGCTCAGCAGAGTCCCAAAGGCTGGGGACGAGCTAGCAGGGAAGGCTGACAGGGGACGCCAGGAAGAACCAGTTGGACCCTAGGTCCCTGGAAATGAGTGTTGGGGCTAGATTTTTTGTCTTCATCTCATGAAAGTTAATGAGTACATAATATGCAATAATTAAAGAAAGATATAGATGTCATGCACCAACCTCTGAAATTCACTTAATGGACAATGTGTATGTAAACATTATCTCTAAAGGAGCCTACATACTGTATTAGCCTAGGAAGAAAGGCAGGATCCATTTTGTTTTTAAAAACTTTCAGCCCATGCATATGACTAAGGCCTCCAGGAGCTGTGCGGCACAGCACTTCGACGATGACGTGGACCTGGAATTTTAAGTGGTGGTGATTAGGTGTTACTCTAGCAACAATAGACAGAGGAGCGTACCTCGTGCAGACAGCGGAAAGCTGGCGTTTCGGCTAAATCCACCAGCCGCTCCTCTCGAATGTTAACTGTGGGCACGATGGCGAAGGGGCGGTCCTTCTGGTCCTTCCTCCTCTCCCTCTCTGAGGCTTCCTCCTCCTCCTCGTCGGCTTCGTTCTCTCCTTCTGTGTCTGTGCTGCTCTCTTCCATGCTGCACAGTTCTGAAGTCAGTCAGTTCCGATCCAGCTGTCTAAGCATGTCTTCTTCACTTTCAGAGTGACAGGAAATCGTAGAAAGTAAAATGAGTCCACCTCTGTCTGTCTGCATCCCTCCCTCTCTCCTCTCTCTCTCTCTCTCTCCTCTCTCTGTCTCCTCCCTCTCTCTCTCCTCTCTCTCTCTCTCTCTCTCTCTCTCTCTCTCTCTCTCTCTCTCCTCTCTCTCTCTTTCTGGAACAAAGCCCAGGCCTGAGCAAGCACCAGCCTGGTCTACAAGAGCTAGTTCCAGGACACGCTCTCAAACTACAGCTAAACCCTGTCTCGAAAAACCACTAGAGAGAGAGAGAGAGAGAGAGAGAGAGAGAGAGAGAGAGAGAGAGAGAGACCCTGACCCAAAGGATAAGGTGAAAGACCAATCAAAGAAAGTAATTCTGGACATCAACCTGGGGCCTCCACATGCACACTGCCCCCAACATGTGAACCCACATACATGCAAACTATGTATACACTTATGTCCTAAAATTAATAGCAGGGTGGAAAATATCAACCAATGGCCAGCTTGAGATGCGGGCAGGGGCAGGGTGCGGGGGGACAGAAACAGGCTCTTAGGAAGCCGAGCAGAGGAAGAGGCATGGTCATTCTCAGCAGGGTCGGGACATGTCTAATCCCAGGCAGAGGAACAGGCACAGTGATTCAGCAGGCTCAGGACACGTCTCATCTCAAGCAGCAGACCCTTTCCCCCATTTAATTCCAAGGAGCAAAGTGGCTGCAACAAGAACACGGGGCACACATGACCACATATGACTGTGGGCAGGGCCTCTCTAGTTACCTATTAGGTCAATTGCACTTTGTTTTCTGATACTTCTATAGCATGTAGCTGTCCAGGCTTCCGTAGTCACTCTTAAAAATTTATTATTTTTCATATTGTCTCCTGTGGTGGAATATTAGTTTAAGATGGGTTACATTTGTTTATGCTGCGGAATATTTGTTTAGTGATGCAAAGATGTGCTGTGTTCTTTTATCTTGCATTTGTTTAATTCCATGAAGCCATGATACTGAGCCTGCCTAAAACACCTGATTGGTCTAATAAAGAGCTGAATGCCAATAGCAAGGCAGGAGAGGGATAGGCAGGACTGCCGGACAGAGGGACTAAATAGGAGGAGAAATCTAGGTTAGAGAGAGTGAGGAGTGAGAAAAAGGATGAGGGAGGGCACCAGGGGCCAGTCGCCCAGCCTCAGAGCCGGTCACAGAGTAAGACGGAAAAGTTATACAGAATAAAGAAAGATAACGGTCCCAGGGGCAAAACGTTAAAGAGAAATGGGATAGTTTAAGTTAGAAAATCTGACGAGAAACAAGCTAAGGCCAGAAATTCATAAGTAAGAATAAGTCTCCATGTAATTATTTGGGAGCTGGGAGGCGGGCCCCAGAGATTAAAAAAAAAAAAAAAAGAACCAACTACAGTCTCCCTAATCATACTCCTTAAGAAGGAAGCTGCATTTGCCTAGGAATCTTCAACACCCAGCAAGCGATACACAACACGGAATGTGATATAGATATGAATAATTTGCATTGGTATGGATTTTAAGGTCAATTTTGTTATATGTATATGTATTTTTGATCTTGATTAAGGTATTGTGATTGTGTAGTTCATTTTAAAATGTAATGTACAATTAGGAAATATAGGTTGCTAATGGATAATCATTGATGATAGTAAAGCTTGTAGTCATGTTAGTTAGATTTTCTAGATATATAGAGATATATTTCAGTTAGATAGACATTCTTCATATCTAAGACTGCAGAATATGGCATTTAAAATATTTTAATAACTTAGGGCTTTTCATGACAAGGAGACACGTCTGCTCCTGGCAGCACCAGCTACTTCAAGAGGAAGATGGGCATCGAAGAGGATCCTTATGGAGTTTGATAGCCATTTGGGCAAGAAACTGCTCTTGCCTGGACTATTGCATAAACTGGACACAGAGAACCCGCAGAGAGAGGACTACTGAACTTGCCTAAAGGTGAGATGGTCTTTCGGGGTTCCTGATAAATGAAAGAGTCTACGAGACATTCTGCAGGACACAGCAGAAAGTGACTGAACTGTCTTTGAAATTTCCTGCTTCATGGAAATGTCTCTGGATACCATGGGCCTGTAGGCCGAAGATGGATGCCCCAACGGTACCGAAGAACTTTGGGTGACTGTCCAGGCAGCGAGATGACTCTGTCATTTCTAGAGTTTTCTTATTTCTTGTTTACTTAGGTAGTATTATACCCTTTTGGAGTCTTTGATGGAGTTAAAGAATGAATAGATAGTTATAGTTTTCCTTAGTTATGATAAAAGATAAAATAGATATAAATATTGTAACTGTAATTTTTGTTTGATAACTGTTTTTTATATGTAATTTTACTATGTTAAAGTTAAAGCCTTTCTTTTTTGTTTAAACAGAAAAAGGGGAAATGATGTGGGAGTGATTTCTTATTAATAAAGAAACTGCCTTAGCCCATTTGATAGGCCCACCCTTAGGTGGGTGGAGTAAACAGAACAGGATGCTGGGAGAAAGAAGCTGAGTCAGAGAGTCACCATGATTCTCCCACTCCAGACAGACGCAGGTTAAGATCTTCTCTGGTAAGCCACCTTGTGGGCTACACAGATTATTAGAAATGGGTTTAGATAGATATGTAAGAGCTAGCCAATAAGAGGCTGGAACTAGCCGGGCCAGGCAGTGTTTAAAAGAATACAGTTTCCGTGTAATTATTTCGGGGTATAAGCTAGAGCCATGCGGGCGGCCGGGTGCCGGGGATGCAGCCTCGCCGCTCCTATCACTACAAGAATGTGCATCAGGATTTCCAGTGGAGCAAACGGTTTCAGCTGCTCTTCTCACTGCAAGTCACGTGCTTGGATTTCCAGCCAGGACCCCTAAGCCAGTTAGCTAACAGTGACGTAGTCAGCCAGGACCCCTAAGACAGTTAGCTAACAGTGACATAGTCAGCCAGGACCCCTAAGACAGTTAGCTAACAGTGACATAGTCAGCCAGGACCCCTAAGACAGTTAGCTAACAGTGATATAGTCAGCCAGGACCCCTAAGCAAGTGAACTGACGGTGACATCAGCCAGGACCGCTAAGCCATTGAACTGATGATCACGTAGTGAGCGTGTTAGGACACTGGTTTGACCAAGTGGCAGTTCCAGTGAAGCCACGCTGCAGCTCCGCCCTGGTTTGTCACCAGCTTGGAAAAGCTTTTTCTCTAATAGGCTTCCTGAGGAGCTGCCTAACCCAGATCAAAAAAGGAGTCGTGTGAGGGTTTTTGTTGTTGTTGTTGTTGTTGTTGTTCAAAATGCAAAAAAATTTACTATGAAAATTTCCCAAAATATAAAATTTAACCCTTAAATCTTTTATTGCTTACAAAAGACAATCAATTTAGTGATGATTAAATGAAATGAAAAAAAAATAAATGGAAACAAATACAAACAACATAAATTGCAAGAAAACGTTGTATAATAATTTTACATGGTAAAATATGTAATAGTGCAGTAACATCTTGCCTAGTCATAAGATTTTTTCTGACTCATTTTTTTCTGCAAAATAATTTATTAGGCTAACAAAATTTATACTTTTGCAATTTAGTTTTTAATTGACATAATTGAAAATGATGAGAGCTGCTCTTGGGAATACAAAATTGCACATAATTTTGGCAGTGTTTAACCGAGAAGGTTGACAACATCAGGGTAAATCTCTAAAATGTCATTTCAAAAACTAACATCTGGACCCGATGAGCCTCACTTGTAAAGCACTGGTTTTTAAGCACTATGGCTACTGCATTCCTTAAAACAATTTTCAAGATTTTATATGCATGGTGTTTTACATGTACGTTGGTCTCTGTACATCACATGTATGTCGTACCCTCAGAGGGCAGAGGAGGGCACCAGATTCCCTAGAACCAGAGTTACACACAGTTGTCAGCCACCATATGGGTGCTGGAAATTGGATCAGGGTCCTCTGGAAGAGCAGGCTGAAGCGGTCTCCCTGGGTGCCGGAGGGGTGGGCACCCTCCATCTATGTAGTTGTGGGCTGCCTTCACCCACACTAGGAGGGGACTCTGCCCCGGCTGAGGTGGTCTCCCCAGGTACTGGAGAAGTGGGAACACTCCGTCTATGTAGTTGTGGGGCTGCTTTCACCCACACTGGGGGAGGACTCTGCCCCGGCTGAGGTGGTCTCCCAGGGTGCCGGAGGGGTGGGGCTGCCTTCACCCACACTAGGACTCCACCATCATTATGTTTTGTCTATGGTTGGTGCTCTATTTGGGGGAAGCGGTTCTTTGCTGAGGTCTCCCCCGGAAAAGTTAATACGACAGTATCATAAGATAGTTTTTTCTAGAGAGACCGACCTCTAAACAAGTCAGCTTCATGCATTGGCTGAATTTCAAGTACGCAATCATTTAATAGTCATCTTGGTGTTTCTTGGGTCTTTGTTCAGCCTGTGGAGATTGCCAGACTCTAAGCAAGGCTGTAGGCTTGCTTGTTGTCTTAGAGAGGGTGTCTATTGTTGTGACCAAACACCAGGACCAAAGAACAAGATGGGGAGGAAAGGGTTTATTTGGCTCACATGTCAGCATCACTGTTCACCATCGAAGGAAGTAAGGACAGGAACTCCCAGAGGCAGGAGCTGATGCAGAGGCCATGGAGGGGAGCTGTGTACGGGGGCTTGTTTCTCATGGTTGGCTCAGCCTGTTTTCTTATAGAGTCCAGGATCAGCAGCCCAGAGATGGCACACCCACCATGAACTGGACCTTCCCCCATCAATCACTAAATGAGAAAATGCCTTACTGTTGGATCTCAAGGAGGCATTTCCTCAGCTGAGGCTTCTTCAATGACTCTTGACACACAAACATAACCCTTCCCTTCTTATTCATCCCCAAGACCTCAGGTAACTTTAAAAGTTCCACAGGCTTTACAGATTCAAGCACATTAAAACTTCAGTCGATCTCTTTAAAACTACAAAGCCTTTTAAAATTCAAGTCTCTCAACCCAGGCAAATACTTTCTTACTTCCAGCGGGA